TGCTGTTACATTTTTGCCCCCCTTGGCAAAATTGGTAGGCACTGAGTGCTTACTCTTCTTGCAGATGCATCTGTTAGATAAAGCATGTTGGGTAAATTGTGATGTGGGGGTTTTATTCTGTTACGTGTGGTGTTCTTTCCTTTGATAGTATAGATTCTTTGGCGAGCCTGTGGTAGAAGCTTGTGTTGAAAATGGTGCAAGCTGCATTGATATCAGCGGAGAACCCCAGGTATGTGACAGCAGATAAGCGCTAAATTATATCAAGGATCTGTTAAGGAATATCTGTTTAGTGTGTTTTGTGTTTCTGCTAATGGTTTTGAACATGAGGGCAAACTCTGCCTCCTGATCCGCAATTTCAAGATGGGTTACCTTTTTTAAAGTACGCTAATGTGTGTCAGTTGTATAGTTTTCTCTCTTTTAGACAAGAGCCACTCGGGTTCTTTCTGGAATTCCCAAACTTTTGAATTCAGCTTCAAGTCTCAGTTGTGATTCTACATAGGAATTCTGTATAGATTACATTTCTTTACAGAGCTGTGACGCTTTCATACCATCAGCCAGGGTTGATAATATGTATTTGTCTTGAAGATGCTCATCAGAGGCTTGAAGTGTGCTGGATGCTATGATATGACAGGAAAGTGCTGATGGGTCATCTTGGGTATGGCCAAATCTGGTGTTCTGCTGAGAATATTTGTTCTGACTGTGTTTCAGTTTTTGGAAGGAATGTACCTGAAATACAATGAAAAAGCCGCAGAAAAGAGAGTCTATGTCATTGGAAGCTGTGGCTTTGACTCAATACCAGCGGATATGGGAGTACTGTACACCAGAGACAAATTGAAAGGTGAGTGAAATAAGTGTGACCTTGTGCTGAAAAAGAAATGCAGATGATGCTTTCATCTGGTTTCCTAAAGCAGCAGTGCTTTTGTGGAGACTCTCTTTCAGTGTCTCATTTTTCCTGCCTTCAGCAGCTGACTGGTTTCAATCAACTCTGGTTGATGAAAATTTAAATGTAAAGCATATTCCCATTGGATTGGAGAAAATTTATCATTAGGTAGAGGAGGGATTCAAGGAAGCATTGCTCACTGAGAGAACAGAAGCTTCAGTTGTCAGGAGGGGGCTGTTCATGCAGGGTGTGGATGTCCTGACGCAAGCCTCGGCACACTGCCTGCCTCCTGTGCAGTGGGAATCTGGTAGGGAGGAGGCAGTGGGGACAGGAAGGCTGCAGGAAAGGGATGGCAAATTAGTGGGTCATCAGGTTTTGTAAGTTTTCTTTTTCTACCGCAAGCACTGGGAAGCTGTTGTATGAGTGTAAGGAGATAGACAGGGCCATACAGTCCCTTTTCCATTAAGAGATATTGGCGGTCACTGAAAGAGGATAAATACATTTGAGAAAGGATATGAGATGATTTAATTCTATGCAAATAGTACTTGGACCTGATCTCAAATGAGGATATTTTGTTCATCAGGACTGACTTTCAGTTGGAAGGGCCGATAAGAGTAACCAAATGTTTTCCTTTTATGGACTCTTAAATCTGCTGTTAAGTTGGATTGCTTTACGTTGGAGTTTAAGAAAACTCAATCTGGATCTGACTGGAGAGTGAGGAGAGGCATGGAAATGAGTATCTGGTTGTTCCTGGGGTTATAATTTCATGTCTGATACTTGTTTTGGAGAAAGATTTGTTTTGTCTCTTCCTATTTTGACTTTATGGTATTATCACTTGTCTATCCAGCTGCTTGCCCAAAAAGTGCAGTTTTACAATCTCGGAAGGAACTGAGCAAAGCAAAACAAAGCAGTGTTTAGAGGAGATGTTTTGTTTTGCTGTTCATCACAACTAAACATTCTTTGCAAAACATGAGCTATGCTAAAATTAGAAGTTTTAGTATATCTTGTGGGTTGTTTTTTTTTTTTTTTCTTAGTTAAAATCTACCAAAATCCACAAGTCCATCTCAGTTTTTGCAGCTTACATCATCTTTTCTGTTGAAACTGGGAGAAAAACTAAATACAGCTCTGAATATTCTTTTCTTTTTCATTGATTATTTACATTATCTCATGAACTAGATAAGACGAATGAAAAATTTAATGAGTAAAGATAATATTAGGGAGCCTTATTGAAGTACTTTACATAAGAAATTTGATACTTGCAAACTAAAATAGCTGTGCAGCTTTATCTCACAGTAAAATAAGCGAAGATTAAGATGTGACTCTGCCTTTCCAAATAATTATGCCAGTGGCCTGCTATTGGAGTCTACCAGTGTGTACTCTGGCTTTGTGAACTAATGATTGCATGTGCCAAGTAATGTTTTCTTCTCCGTTAAAGGTACCTTAACTGCTGTTGAAAGTTTCCTGAAGGTGAAATCTGGGCCTGAGGTTAGTTGGTTTATACCTTCTTGGAGACTCAGGAGTATTTGTGATAATATCGCTGTAGCCCATTAGAATAACTGTCATTACCTTAATTCAGACCAAGGAACAAGCTGGTGGTTCATTGATGATAAGTCTAAGAACTTTAGGAGCTAACAGAAGTATCCCAGGCAAACAGCCTTTTTAAGGTTCATTTGCATAGGGTGTCTACCTAAGGTTTGTTGTGTTAAGCTGTTTCAATAACTACTTGGTTTTTGCAGAGATGTGGGAAGGATTCATAGACAAGTAAGCTATAACGGATACACAGTGTGTTGCCAGGAATCTTAGTGTTTGACTGTTTGGGTTGGTCTTTTTGTTGTCAATATACTTCAATGCATGTAACCATAATACAAATATGTAAAAATTATAGTAATGCGTAATATATGTAATAATTCTGAGGTCATTATTAATGTAATGCAACGATGACCCAAAGCAAGCCAGTGTTGGTGCCCAACAATTGAACATACTGCTTCTCCCATCCTGAGCACCTGTCTTGACAGGTGCTGTGTAAGTCACCATGGTTTCTTATGAACATCTGGAGGAGTGGAGGAAGCCCGTGGAATGGGAGAGTAATATCTCCCTGTTAAAGGACAGGGGATAGTTATGAGAATGTACAAATCTGTATGTTGGGTATAAAGATGGTTTAAGTTTGTGGTATATGTTGGGAATGTTGGTAAGAATGGATTTCAGTAATGAGAATTAAATACAGTGGGATGGTTAGAAGATAGATATATGTATGTATTAAATTATGTGGGACCCGAGCATGACACAAATTGTGTGGAGTAAGGGGTAGAGATTGTATTGGGTCTGGCTGAGGTGGAGTTAATTTTCCCCATAGCAGCCCTCATAGTGCCGTGCTTTGTATTGGTAGCTAGAAAGGTGTTGATAACACCCCAGTGTTTTGGCTCCTGCTGAGCAGTGCTCGCACAGCACACAGGCTGTCTCTCCAACATTTCCCCCCCCCCTCACCAGGAGGCTGGTAGTGGTCAAGATCTTGGGAGGGGACACAGCCGGGACAGCTGATCCAAACTGACCAAAGGGATATTCCATACCCTGTGACGTCTTCTCTGCAATAAAAGCTAAGAGAAAGGAGGAGGGGTGCAGGGCATTTGTTATGTATGACATTTGTCTTCTTGAGCAACTGCTATGTGTACTGAAGCCCCGCTTCCTGGGAAGTGGCTCGACATAGCCTGCTGATGGGAAGTAGAGGATAAAATCTTTTGTTTTGCTTTGTCTCCACGTGCGGCTTTTGCTTTATTAAACTGCCTTTATCTTGACCCCATGAGGCTTTTTTTCCATCTTACTTTCTCCCCTCCCTGTCCTGCTGAGGAGGCAGCTTGGTGGGGGCACCTGGCATTCAGCCAAGGTCAACCCACCACATTTCAATGTATTTTAGTGGGTATAATCATAATACATATATGTAATAATATTTAATAGATGTAATAATTCTAAGGTGATTACTAAAAGAATACATGAAACCTTGAGATACGGAATTAATTACTGTTTCATGTTATGTTGCCAGGGTTCTTGTATACATGATGGGACCTGGAAGTCAGCTGTTTATGGCCTTGCGGATCAAGACAACCTGAGGAAGCTTCGAAAAAAGATAGGCTATGCCCCTGTTCCAGTAGTTGGTGCAAAACTTAAGAGAAGGTATAAGAAGCGTAAGATGTGAAACATGTTGTCTTCTAACAGTTCCAGTATTTATTGTATAGGTAGCTAAGTTATTCTGAAGTACTAAAAAGATGCATTTAGGACTGTATTATAATAGGAAGATGTAGATACTGGTCTAGTAGAATTGAAGATAAGTTCAGTTTTACTGACTTGTTCCTGCTTTACTGAAAAAAAAGAACATGTCCCAGCATTTAGTGGGTTTCAAAGCTAACTTGTTTTAGGAGACTCTTAGCGACATGGCAAACTTCTTAGTTTGATTTCAGAAGTGATCAGTAGAAGGTAAAAAAGAAAGGTGAGGAGAGTATTATTTTGATTATCAAATTCATCCTTGCTCTAGTGCATGGAATTTTCAGTTGTGTCAGGGATAAATTTGCAATGGGTTGCTTTCAGTGAAAGAAGATAATGGCATAGGAATGCTTGAGAAAAAGCCAGTATTGGTAGGACTGTTATGATCAGTTTCTTTCAGTCTTCGTGAACATTTGAATGTTTTTTGTCTCTTCCCCCCCATTTGCAGAGGACTTGTGTTTTACAATCAGGAATTCAAAGAGTACTCCATTCCATTCATGGGATCTGATGCCTCTGTTGTGAAACGGTCTCAGCGTTATTTGCACACAGAGTTACAGGAAACACCTGTAAGTTACCGTTATTGGTGTACTGTGTCTTTATTACCATTTTCAACAAATCTTTCCTCTCCATAATAACTGTTCTTAGAGCAGACCTGTGTAGTAGGGTTGAACTGCAATGTGGCTTTGCTTCTGTAAAGGACACTTGTTCTGTTAGTCACCTTTGGAAGCTGCTTGACCTGATGTGGTCCAGGTCCTTCTGGGTTTCGTGCTACTTGATGCTGTCTGTGCCTGATGATCTTGCTTATTGCTGCTAGCATAATAGTTAAGAGTCTCTCGTAGGGTTCTCACGCTGTCTGGTTTCTGGGTATGTAGTTGTGGGAAATGGAAGCCTTGAGTCACAGAAATATTTGAAAGGTAGGCTTCCTGACTTTTGAGACAGATAAATACATTAAATTCTGTTCCTGTGCAGATGGTTGGGGGTTTTTTTTGTTATTGTTGTATCAACAGAGCTTCTAGAAGCATCTTGATTGTAGTCTGTGTAACTATAGTCGGGTCAGTATCACGTAGTAAACGTTCTCATAAAGAATTGGTATGCTGCTCATTCTATCTGAAGACTTCTTTGGCGCTTGGGGTCTGGTGTGCAGAGTAAAGGCAATGTGAAGTGGTGGTGGTGGAAAAGATGTTAAGTTTTTGTTTTCTGTGATTTTCTGAGAGGACACCAGCACCAACAATCTGTGTAACAGCTGTGTAGAGTCACAGGCGTCTGTTAAGAGATGAAGGAAAGATAACGCTGCAAAAATATACTTGGAAACTACTAATGAGAAAGGCTTGCCATTGCTATTCCAGAATTGTAAAGTAAGGCCTCGGTTTCTCTTAAACTTAAAGCACAAAGAGAAGGAAAGAAGATCTCAGGAGAGAAGCCTGAAATTAGACATGAAAACACATCTTTCTTTAGAAAGTTTTCCGCTCCCTCACCATTCCATAGTTATATTGTCTTCTCCTAATGTAAAAATTATTTTGTAAAAATCAATGTAAATTCTATCACTGAAAATATGTTTTTGCCTCAGGTGCAGTATGGTGCTTATGTGAATGTAGGTGGTCTTGGCTCTGTTATCAAGCTGATGTTTGCTGGCATTTTATTTCTTCTTCTTGTGAAGTTTAGCTTCGGAAGAAAACTTCTGATAAAAGTAAGTGTTCAAAACACAAAAGAATTAAGTGTTTGGAGATTATTTATGTTCCCTCTAGTTTACTGTTGGTCTCTTTTTGTCTTTTTTTTTTTTTTCCCCTCTTACTATTTAGTACCCAGAATTTTTCTCTGCTGGACGCTTCACAAAGGAAGGACCAACCCAGAAACAGGTAACTGACTGTTTTCCATCACAGTTATGGAATAAATTTGTTATAGTAATGGTGGAATAGTAATGTAGAGTCAACTGCTAAGTGAAAAAGAAATAATTTCTAAATGCACATTGTGTGTGTGCCTGTTCAGATAGCTTTGAATATTTGCATAATCATGCCTTCTGGTATTAGGCATGGAAGTATGTGGAACTCGCCTGAGGAAAAAAAGGATCGTGTTGCTGGGTCTGATGTATTTACATAGATGGCTCACGGCACTCAGTCTGTCAAAGGTGATGACAGAGGCAGACTGAGTAACTGAAAGCACCAAGAGAATAAATGGACTTTAGAACAGTAGCAGTTCCAACAAAGTAGAAGTGATCAAAAATTTAGATGAGATTATACCTTTTAAGCAATAACTCTAACTACTCTCATTTTTAGATGGATCGTAATATTTGGCATAATAGATACTTATATTTACTCCTTGTGCTTACCTGATATAAGTGCTTTACTTTTTTGGTGACCAAACTTGCCTTGTTCACTACAGATGGATGGGACCTCTTTTACAATGACTTTTTTTGGCGAGGGTTACAGTGAGGGGCAAGATCCCCAGAATGGCAAACCAAATGTCAAGATCTGCACCGAAGTGAAAGGACCAGGTGTGTACATTAGTAGCAGCTCACTGCTTTTGCCTCACGTTCCCTAATCTAAAAGAGGTTTATGGTTCCACTGCTATTCTTTTCACCCTCGAGGAGCACTTGCAACATGGACAAAGTCAACAACCTTTACAGAGTATTACCTTCAATCCTAGCATTCACTGTGACCTGTTTTTACAAATAGCCAATTCGTTTGCATACTCATCATTCTCTTTCCTTCTGACTTTCCCTGTTCCAATTTTCATTTTTGCAGAGTAGAGCAGTTAAGGGGCAAGTGCTTTAAGGATAGTTTTCAGTTGTTACAGCCTGGACTTACTACCTGTTTATTTCCAGTCCCCTATCAGTGAACTTAACCAGATCTGGCAGAGTATACTTTCTAGCTGAAGCATACTTGTGTTCAGATCGTTCCTTTGAAGGGGAGATGACACCTGAAGTCAAGTTTGCAGACAGCAAAGAATGAATAATCAGAAAGGAGTTAATGAAGCATAGCTTCTTTAAATAACTAGATATGTGACTGAATGCAGCTCAGTCTCACCGCAAAAGTCAATTTAAGCACAGGATGGGGAAAGCTCTTACTTTAATGGAGAACCCTCTGTCACCGTGAGGTGATCACTTGTGGTGGTTGTGTGGTTTATAGGCCTGTATTTGAAGCAGTGTTTTGCCAGATTAGATCTTAAGGACTTCAGTAGCTACTTGGGATGATTACCAGGTGAAAAACCTGTTCTTAAATGGGGAAGGCTATTTCATTGCCAGAGAGATTATTCTTCAGCATGCTGTAGGTAAGAGCAAGATTACATTCTACATTTCAACATGCTGTGCATTTCTTGGTTTTTCTTGGTCAGAGCCTGGCTATATTGCTACACCAATCGCAATGGTTCAAGCTGCTGTGTCTCTTCTGGAAGATTCAGCTTGTCTGCCTAAAGGGTATGTACTTTCCCATGCCAAAGACCCTGATCTGCCTTAAAGCTACTGTGTGCATATGTTTCTCTCTGAAAATACAGATCTCATAACCCTGTGAATTTCTGTGTTGCCTCACCCGAATGGCTGTGCAAGGGAGATGGAATAGGTTCTGTTGAGTTTGCCGGATGCAGAAATGATCCTATGAATATAACCAGCTTGCCAAATTCCTCACATGCTGTCCTGTGTGACAAAGTGGCTTGTTCTTTTTTAGGCAGGGAAACACATCTTTGAAGTCAAAAAGAGGTGTCGCCTGTCGCCCAATCAATGTACTGCTAATGTTTTTCTCTTTTGATTTTCATTAACAGAGGTGGTGTATATTCTCCGGGAGCTGCCTTCTCCAAAACAAAACTGATTGAGCGCCTCAACAAACGTGGTGTTGAGTTCTCTGTTATTAGCAAGCCTGAAGTTTGAAGTCAAAACCTAACTGTACAAACTAACACCTTTCCTGGGTCTAACTCCAATAAAACTCATTTGGCTGTAAAAGTCTAATCATAGAATAGTTTCACTGTGCTATTGTTTACAGCAGAAACAGGAGAAAAATTGAGTTAAAAGCTGTAATATTATTTGCTATAGTGAGCAAACCCATGAAGCGTATTGAGTTTTCATTCGCAAGCGTACTAAATCAGTGACTTACTGGGTACTAGTTCTAAAATTTTGTTTAGTCTCTTTCGTCCAAGTTTTAAGTTACTGCTTAATGGAACTGCTATAGCATCTGCTTCACAGTTAACCGCAGCCTTCTCGCTTCACCCCATTCCCCGAGTATTAAAAGCAGCCAGGCCCTGGATAACAAGTGCCTTGGCAGGTGAAACCACTAGTTACTCCTTGTGCCTGTTTGGGATAGGCGCTATTATTTTCTGGTATTCTTGCTTTCAAAGCCTTAGGGCCCACAGTGAAATAAAAGAGTAGTTGTTGTTTCTCAGAGTTTAAGGAATAGTTTTGTCTTTTTTTCCTGCGTTATTATAAAGATCAGCTGACTCCGTACTGTTGTCTTAAGGTATGTTGACTTCCATCCTTTAGTAGCTTGCCTGTAGTGAGCTGTGCTCACAAAGGAGAGAAGGCTGAGAAACCTGGGCCTGTTTATCCTGGAGAAGAGAAGACTTTGCGGGGATGTCATCAATGCTTATAAATACCTAAAGGGTGGCTGTCAAGAGGATGGGGCCAGACTCCTCAGTGGTGCCCAGTGACAGGACAAGGGGCAACGGGCGCAAAGTGGAACACAGGAAATTCCGTCTGAACACAAGGGAAAAACTTCTTTACTTGAGGGTGACGGAGCACAGGAACAGGCTGCCCAAAGAGGTTGTAGGGTCTCCTTCTCTGGAGATAGCCGAAACATGCCTGGATGCACTCCTGTCCAGCCTGCTGTAGGTGAACCTGCTCTAGCAGGGGCATTGGATGGTTTCCATGTTGTGATTTCCTGCATGACATCCTGGTCTCTAAATTGGAGAGATACAGATTTGATGGATGCACCACTCAGTGGATAACAAACTCGATGGGTGGCTGCACTCAAATGGTTGTGGTCAACAGCTCGATGTCCCAAGTGGACACCAGTGATGAGTGGTGTTTCTGAGGTTGGTACTGGGACCAGTGCTGTTTAACATCTTTGGAGACATGGGCAGTGGGATGGAGTGAACCCTCAGCAAGTTTGCTAATGTCCCCAAGCTGTGTGGCACAGTCAACACATTGGAGGGAAGGGATGCCATCCAGAGGGACCTGGAGAGGTGGGCCATACCAACCTCATAATGTTCAACCAGGCAAAATGGAAGGTCGAGCATGTGGGTTGGGGCAATCCCAAGCACAAATACAGGCTGGGCGGAGAACGGATTGAGAGGAGCCCTGAGGAGAAGGACCTGGGAATGTTGGTGGATGAGAAGCTCAACATGAGCTGGCAATGCATACTTGCAGCCCTGAAGGCCAACCATACCCTGGACTGCATCAAAAGAAGCGTGGCCAGCAGATCGAGGGAGGTGATTCTGACCCTCTACACCACTCTCGTGAGACCCCACCTGGAGTATTGCGTCCAGCACAAGAAGGACATGGACATGCTGGAGTGACCAGAGGAGGGCCACAAAGATCGTCAGAGGGGTGGAGCACCTCTCCTACAAAGGCAACTTGGGAGAGTTGGGGTTGTTCAGCCTGGAGAAGAGAAGGCTCCAGGGAGACCTTATAGCAGGCTTCCAGCACTTAAAGGGGGCTTACAGAAAAGGTGGAGAGGGACTCTTTAGCAGGGTGTGTAGCAACAGGGTGAGGGGTAATGGTTTTAAACTGAAAGAGGGTAGATTTAGATAAGACATTAGGAAGAAATTCTTTACTGTCAGGGTGGTGAGACACTGGAACAGGTTGCCCAGGAATGTGATCCCATTTGTAGACGCCCCATCACTAGAAGCGTTCAAGGCCAGGTTGGATGGGGCTTTGGGCAACCTGGTCTAGCGGAAAGTGTCCCTGCCCATGGCAGAGAGGTTGAAACTAGATGATCTTTACGGTCCCTTCCAACCTAAACCATTCTATGATTCTATAACCTCTAGATTTAAGATGTTTGCAAAACTCAGGATAAAGGTGTTATTTTCCCTCTGCTTCTGTAAGTGTCATTAGATGAGTAGTTTAAACAAGCTTATTCCATGAGCTGCTAAAACGAATGAAGTTTGTTTTCCTGAGTAGTAGTATTTCTTTTTTTCAATGTAGGCACATTATTGTGCCTAGGCTGTATCAATGGTTGCGTGCAGCCATTTTAACAGCATATGCAGCACCTGCTGAATTAGTGTCATCTCTTGGAATCTTGTATACAGTGGAAGGTTTTAATTTGGTGCGGCAGATGGGGATGGCTTATGTGTTGGCTATGGGACCCAATCCAGACAGTGTAGCAGTAGCAAGAAGTATCAAAATGCATTTTCTGAGAGGAGCACCTGCCTCACCAAAACCCTTGATTATACAGCAGTGACAAAAGCTATGGGTAATGTAGGTGCCCTAGCAAATAGTTTGAGGGAAATTGGAGCTGTAATGTTGGGATCATCTGTTCAGGTGGTGAATAAAGGAGAGCCCGCAAAACCCAAAGGACTTACAGCACAGGTGATGAGGAAACAAATGTACAAGCTGGTATCCCATGATCAGAAATAGATGGGATCACAACATCAAAAATGTTTTGCCAATGGCAAAAGTTAGCGTTTGTGCAAAAAAGCTGACCAACCATGGCCCCCACCATCAACTCCATGCCCACCCTCTGCCCCACCTGCCACCTCAACACAAGGCAGTACCCAGGACCAAAAGCAATATACTTTCCACATCTTGCCTCAGGGATAAAAACCCAGTCCCTCCATTTGCTGCCTAATGATAGCAGCTGATGTTGTGCTTATGGTTGTGCTCCATTACTGTTCCCCATTATATTGATGATCTATTGATTATGGCAGAGTCACAACAAGAAATTGAAGCAGATGCAGCTTATCAAACCCACAGTAATATTAGTTGAAGAAGCTGGAGCGATGCATATGTGTTACTGGAAGGAGCTGACACTCGGATCGTATGAGGGTCCCGGTGCCAGCAACTGGTGAGACCGCAGGTTGTAGGGTGAGTGATTTAAGTGTCAGCAACCAAACTCAGGTCACGGGTGACAGATGCCTGTGTGTCTGCGGTGTCAGCAAGTGAGGCGGTGAGGGTCTCGGTGCCAGCAGCTGCACTGGGGACTGCACTCATGGGACACATGTGTCCAAGGTACCAGCAAGGGGAGGGAGAAGGTGGTTGTATTTTCCCCTAACCCTATTTGCATGTGTAAGTTGCTAGCAGACCTCAGGGTTGGCTAGCTAGTGAGTAGGAGGAAAAGCCATCTCTGGAAAGATGTGGTGTCTCAGCCAGGGCTGAGGGAGAAAGCCCAGGGTAGGGGCACAGATGACAGCTGAGCTTGAGGCTGTGCTAATCTTCAGGGGCTCTGGAAACATGGGTGTGTGTGGCAGCCTGCAGAGTGACAGCGTGCCTCTGGTGTCACTCGTGAGCTTGTATTGCGACAAGCCAGGGAGGCGGCTTTCTGTGAGTTGTCATAGTGCTAGATGGGCCGTGTTAAAGCCATGGCCCTGTCTCTGGTAGCCCGCATAGCCAGCTGTGGTGTCATGCATGTACGTGGTGCATGGTCAGCCTCACTACTGGCCTGACCTGCAAACAGGAAAGCAGCAACCACATCCATGGGTCTGGGACAGAGACACCCCCAGGACTGGGGTGCACCATGCCGGGCTCCTGCAGCCAGAAAGAAAGAAGCCTTGGGTTAGCAGATTTGTAACCTCCCTTCATTCCTTGGCAGGCGCTGGCATCAAACGTTAAGCTTTGCAGTCCTAAATTCACTAACACCAAAAGGAAATCTGTTCTGTAACAGCAAGACTATGGATAAGAATTAAAAGTAAATGACTCACGAGAAACTGTGAATTGGCTTCTACCTGTGGCTTGTGCCCCTCCACCAACCTCCAAAATCAACTACAAAGTTATTTAGGAGTAGTTACTCAGGAGTAGCTTTACTTTAGGAATTTTACTTTAGGAGTAGTTGAACACAGTCAAGGAGTGAGTGACCTGAACGAACCGACACATCAGGAGCCATAACTTGCATCGTTTTTCCCTCTGCCTCACATACTGGTCACCCGCACAGCGCACTGCTTTGGAAAACGCGTTTGATTCTAGGAACAGCTTTAAATCAGAAGGAGCCACGGTACATTTATCTCCAAGCATATCAAAGAGACTCGTTAGCTTGACTACTTGGGTGGAAAAAGCATTCCTGGAATGGAAACCGGGAAGCTTTGCACAGAAGACCAAAGTACAAACAAGAGAAGAAACAAATGCTGTCTTATTGCTTGAAATTCCATTGCGTCCTAGTACTTTCAGATTGGCCTAGACTAGCAGGTTACAGGCACTGCCTAACAACTCACGAGAAACTATAGTTGGCTTCTGCCTGCAGCTTCTTTTTTCCCCACCAGAAATCAACAACGAAGCTGTTCCAGACTAGTTACGTGGGAACTGATGAAATTGCAGCAAATAAATGTATTGCGCTGACAACCCTGAGAATAGCCTTCCGTGAGAGGAAGTTCCCATGGGGGATTAAACTACTTGGTTATCTATGGCCTCACTTGCACTCTGGGCACGTACAAATATTAAGGCAAATAAAGTCACTCAACGTGAATCAGTTGATGCTTTAAGCACCAAATGGCTATCAAAAGTAAAATTTAATTCTCCTTCATGTTGTAGCCTGGAATTAATACTTTCATCAGCCTCGGCTTCTGAACATTTGAAGAAAAAAGAAATCAACTCATGACTATTTGTGCTAACTCTCTGAAGTAACCCACAAACCATTTCTACTGAAACATGTATTTTCGTGACCAATTCCCTTCTAACAACAGCCCTTAATGCGGTTACTAGTCATTCTCCCGTCACTAGTAACTCCTCCTATGTGTTTCCTGGAAATAAAAAGTGCCATTACACCTGTTTTTATTCTTTCGGAAAGGTGAGAGTCTACTGCTCCAAGGCAGTCAGCCTTCCAGCGGGATTTTCTCTGGGGT